ACAATAGATTTAGCTATTCATAATAGAGAAAGAAAGAAAAAAAATAGTGGAGTCCATCACCGGGTTTTGAATTTAGATGTGAAGTGGATGAATCTTGCACCAAGTTCTTCTTCTCGTTTCAAATCTTGGTTTCAAACCCTTGAATTGTTTTTTCTCCTCTTGAATTTGCTCTCTTTAATTTCAAGATGTGCTTCTTGCCTCTCAATGTGTGAAATCCCCTATCAAAAGTGTGAAAAAATTGTATTTATATGTGCTCTTTCATTTGTATAGAAAGTAGAGTTTTTATGGACTTCAACATGGGCTAAAAACTCGCCATAAACAATCCCGGTGCAACGCCCAAGTGCCGCGAAAAAATCCAGGTAGCGCCTAAGCACCGATGGCAACATCTAGGGTTCAATTCTCGTTTTTTTTTTTTTTTTTTTTTTTTTAATGTTTCGCAACTGCTGGGCGCTGCCTTTCTACTCCAATTTCTTTATTTTTGGCCTTTTCGTTCGCTTTAGTTCCTCTTTTTGCATCGCCTTTTCTAATCTTCAAAACCACACTCACATAAAAAATGTTCTATACTCATAAGATCTAGCAAATAATCAAGTGAAAATTGTGCAAAATTCGTGAGTAAAACAAACTCATCAAATATACATCCTTAAACTAATTTTAGGATAGTTTTGGGATGATCAAACTATTATAGAGAGATTGAGATAAATATGGTTTGCATGTGCAAAAACTTTTGTGCCACTTGTCTGAGTTCAATAAAATAAAAATTAGATAAATATCTTAAATTAAAGGTCGAATTTTGAAAATGAGTATTTAATAAGTGGCATTACACTAATCATTGAATAAAAAGGGCAAAAAAAAAAGGTATGAATCATAAATGAAGCTATCCTATAAATGATTTCAATAATGACACTTACTTAAAATTTCAGGTTAATGCATGAAACATAATACATACATCAAATATGAAAAAGCATAGAAGACGCACTATATGTTTTGATTAAACCCCAACACTTATTTGAAATAATTTGACTTTTGACAAGAGATTCTTAGTGTAGTTGAGCCTTAGAAGTTGAAAAAATCAAAATATAAGAGAATCCATATTTGTTAAAGTATTGACTTACAATTAGTGGAATCTAACTAAACCAGAGAGTGTTGGGATTAGTATTATATAAATTCAACCTTAGTTCACACCTTAAAAAGAGAGTGAAAAGAATAAGCTTAGGAGTGTGTATCTAATGAGTGAAGAAATGATAAATTTTACCATTGAGAATCAGGATTTGAATCACTTTATCAATTCATGATGCTTTACATAAACTTTTATATACACACATCAATTTTGTATGGGACGGGTAGAATTAACTATAGCAATGAGAATTTAAAGCAGTTTGTATTTTTAACCCAAGAATTTCAATCTTGAGATCAATGGCAAATTATCTAACCATGTTTATTTAAAAACTTTGTTTAAGTTAAGCTTTGTCTTTTTTTTCGATGGCATACAATTGTTTAAGTTTGAGTGAGTTCAATAAGTGTATTTTGCACACTTATTTGGGTTGTTAGATGAGATTAATTGTTATGAATTTTGACAAATCATGGCCTAATTATATATATTTTGGTTGTTAGGAAAAACTCGATGCAAATTGATGAAATTAAACAAAATGAGTGAAAAAGAAGGAAAAGAACCAAATTTCACTACGAAGAATGTTTAGGGACTAAAAATGCAAATAGGCCAAAAATCCCTTCTATGTTACGCACACGCCAAAGATTTTCGAACTCGAGGCAAACTTTCCTCGAGTTACTTGTGCAAGAAAAGACCCAAGCGCAAGCTACAGTAATTTTTTGTCCGATTTAACAACTTCCTTATACGATTCAAACTATTTTGAAATCCAATTTTAAGGTATTTCTTGACCTAAGTTCGTCTCCTATAAATACAAAACATGGAAATATATCGAGGATCTCTGTCTAGCCTTTAATTCACATCAATGCCATAAAATTCATCAAGAGTGAGAGGCAAGTTCACATCTTTTGGGAGAGAAAATCCACCTATCAAGGAATTGAATGGTAATTATATCAAGAACTTGAAAATCTCGAGCTTGGACTTGAAGAATAGGATCTCTTGCATTCATTAATCTTCCAGGTGATATCTATTTACTATTCTTCTTGTACTTCATATAAAATCATGCTAGATTAGATCATTTTTTGTATGGATGAAAATGAACTTTTTTGCTTATTCTAATTTAGGACAAGTAGTTTAGTTAACTTTTGTATTTCTTGATTAGTCTTGTCTTCTCATTGCATTATTTAATTGATTGACTGCCTTTTAGATAATTAGTTATTTGTTGTAGCGTTAGGAGACTCACAATAAGTAGAACATTGCATAATTAACACATAGAGAATAAATGTTAGGAACAACATGTATAACGTTTGCAATCTCTTTGATAATCGTGTTTTTGTATACATTCTATCTATATGAATACAAACTAGGAATAAGATTCAGTCGTGTATAGAATATATATAATTTATCTTTTTTTTTTTTTAAAGTTGAATGAAATTAGATTATTGATTCTTAATAATGCATGAATAAACTTGGATTAAATAAATGATAATTGAAATAGATAACAATAGGCAAATTATAAATTCAATACAATTATCCATTCATTTATACAAATTAGCGCTTTACATACTCATTAGAATAATTACAATTATAGAACATTCTCTCTTTTGTTGCACATTTCGAATTTGATACAAGACTAGTAAATTTTAGTTAGAATTTATTTTTAGAAGACGATGCACGTAACTTATCGCGTTTATTACTTGTCCACGATTTCGTATATTTGCGAGATTTATCTAAATAGTAAACACGTCACTTAACTAAACTAGTACATTAGGGGGTCAATTGGTGCATATTTTCAAAATAAATAAGGAATTTTGTAATAGAGGTTCCAAGCTTTTTAAAAATATGCAACAAAGTCCCAAACCCTTTAAATCATAGCATCTACATCCAAAGTCTTCCAACAAATGTGCGTTCAAATAATCTTTGGATGTTTTTGTCCAAATGAACATCAGGACCAAGAGCCAAGCGTTTAACCATTTATTTTGTGTTCAATACAAACTTCGTCCAAAGCGCCAAACAAATATTTATCAATGTTTTGCAAAATAGTCCTTGAAATATCAAAAATTTGCATTTCTACCCCTTCTATTTCTGAATGATGCAAATCTGCTCTAGTTTTTACTGTGAATTGAAAATCCTTTGTGTTTATTTAAATGTGAATTTTGGTTTCTAACATTTCAATGATAGCCAAATGGTCCCTACACTTTTAGAAAACTGTATATTTTTCTGAAGTGTTTAATTTAGTCAAATTCAATCTCGATTTTTCATAGATATGCAAATCGATACTTGATACTTCTAGATCATGAAAGATGGTCCTCAAGGTTTCTGCATTCCACATATTGGTCCTTGAATTTTCTATGTTCTCGTATTGGTCCTGAACTTTCTATTTGGAGGAAGTCTGTCTCTGAAGTTTCTATTTGTGATTAAATGGTCTTTAAATTCTCTGAATTGTGAAAAAACGTCAATGAACTTTCATTCTTTACAATCAGGTCCCTCCTTTATCTGAAACTTGCAATTTTTCCTCTAAAATTTTGAATTGTGCAAGTCAATCCCTAGAGTCCCGTTTAAAAGCATAATTGAATGAGTAATTATGCTAGCCCCATCGAAGTGTACACACCCCTACAAAATCATGCCAAATGGGTACGCATGATTTCTCTTCTATTAAAATTTGTGGATAAACTTGCGTAATAATACAATGGGACTAGTCGACAATTTACAAGTGTTTAAACTTTAAGCCATGTTTGATGGCCATTAAAAAAAGAAACTTGGGTAAAATAGTGATTTTTTGGGGAATGTATTGTTAAAAGATAGAAAAAATATTGAATTTACGAGTAAAATATTTTATTGTATAAATATATGATTGAAAATGAGTAATTAAAATTCATTTTTCTCTCTTCTTATCAATCGCACATTTTTCAGTAAAATGATATTACACGTAAACTTAAAAACTTTTCTTTCCATTTTCACTACACATTCTTTAAGGAAATTACTATTCATTTTATGTTTGAGCCCCATTCTTTGGGAAAATGTATTTTTAAACATAGTGATGGCAAAAAAATCCGTCCGGCCCCAAATGAGGCAAAAAAATTCATTCCAAACGGGTCCGCGGGGCGCCCCGTTGTGAGGCTACCCTACCTTGAACTCGCTTGTGAAGGGAAAAAAAAGATTAAAAATAATTTTATTTCTAGATAATTCACCCGTTAAAAATCCATTTTGATTTTTTTTTAATCTAATAATCACATAACTCAAAATTTTAAAAATGCAAAAAAAATATAAAATATAAAAAATGAAACGAGGGAAAAAGTTGTCTTGTCCCCGCCCCATCTCGTCTAAGGCGGGGCCCTGTCCCAAACCCTCCCCATTGTCATCCCTACTTAAACAGTATTTTAATATTATTTCAACTATATATTTTTTAATAAAATAATATTACACGTAAATTTATTTTTTAATCACATATTTTTATCAATAAACAATTCAAAAATGTATTTTTCTTTTAAAATGGAGTTTAAACAAGATCATGATTTGAAATAATGGAGCTCCAACAAGAGCTTAATTTAAAGAGAATAAAATGGGCTAAAGTTTCTTTTGATATTGGATAAAGACACACTGGCCCTGGACGGACAGGCCCACCATTTGGTGCCCCCATGTGGCCAAATGGCGCATTGGACGTCAAGCACGTTCCTTTGATATTCTATGAAAGTAACTATTTCTATAAAAGAATAATCTCCAACTTTTTATCCTTTATCCTGGCTCAACCCAGATTTTTCTCGGGATTCCGCACTATTCCATGAGCTTGCCACGCGCTCTCTTTTGTCATTCAATCCTTTCCCTACACGTGTTCAACCATCCAACGGACAATAACACTCCCACTCCCACTCCCACTCCCACTCTGTAACCCGTTCATCCATATCTCCTTTCCCCTTCACATTTCTCTCTAAAAAATTCACACAAATCTCTCTCTTCTCTCGCGCTATATATAATGCTTCTGAAAGTTGCACCTGCTTCTGGGTTATTGAATTCCCATGGGGAAACTCTGGGCCCTTTGTTTTCGGCTATTCATTCGCACAAGAGTTTCGTGGGGAGAAGTGGAAATGGGTATGTGATATGCGCATCGAAACCGACAAGCAGCAAGCCTTTAACCGGTGTTATTTTTGAGCCCTTTGAAGAGGTAAAGAAGGAGCACATGCTTGTGCCCTCTGTTCCCCAAGCTTCGCTTGCTCGCCAAAAATACGCCGATGAGTGTGAGGCCGTTATCAACGAACAAATCAAGTGTGTTTCATTTGATTTACTGATGTCTTGAATCGAATTGAATTTTGTTTTGGTGGTCTGTTATTTGTCTCGTCTGAATTTGGATTTTATGCTTTTTTTTTTCTAGTCTATTGATGTTTTGGGGAATTGTTGTGGTGATTACAGTGTGGAGTATAATGTTTCGTATGTCTATCATGCCATGTTTGCCTACTTTGATAGAGATAACATTGCTCTCAAGGGTCTTGCCAAGTAATTCTCGAAAATTCTTTAGAATTGGAAACTCTGCCATTTATTATTTATTAATTATTTTTTTGTAAAATGTAAATCTGTGGGATTATGATTTGTTCTGTCAAAGGTTTTTCAAGGAGTCCAGTGAAGAGGAAAGACAGCATGCTGAGAAATTTATGGAATATCAGGTGCTTGATTATTTGCACAGATGACTTTCTTGAATTTGTTTTCCAGCCATATTGAATTAATTACTTTCGCTCATCTGTTTGGTGAAATTCAGAACAAGCGAGGTGGAAAAGTTAAGCTTCAGTCTATTTTGATGCCAGTTTCAGAGTTTGATCATCTTGAAAAGGGTGATGCATTATATGGTAAGTTCTTAATTTCTTTGAGCTTGTTTGCCTAAGCTTAAAAGCACAAAATTGTTTCTTTTTGGCTTAGTTTGGCAATGTAGAGTGATACTGCTGAAATTAGCTGGCTTCTACAAAAGAAGCAAGGTGACATTGCTCTAATATAGTTGTATATTACTACTGCATCCCGTGATATAAAACATAGGTTATAAAAGAAAATGTCACTTTGCCCGAAAATGCTTGACACCTGGTGTGACCGACCCTCACAAAGTGCGCGGGTCCCACATGAATTAAATAATGCCCGACCCTCAAGGTCTATATCAATCATTATATTCCCCTAGCTCAGTCTGGTTATAAATACTTGTAATATGAATTTTAATACTCGTTCTTTTAGCACTTGGATGCACTTACCATGTGTTATACTTGACCAATGATACTCTTATTAGATGAAATATTTTATTTGATTTTGTGCTTTTTAATACTGAAAATTAATATTTCAACATTTGTTGTGAACATAAAATATAGAATCTTGAATGCTGAAATATATGAGCTGTATTAATATACTATGTCTATTTTAATTTAAAACATATTAGATGTTATATTATCCTATGAATGTAGTACAACAAAAAATAATATGAATGTCAATATTTTAACAAAATAACTTCTCCGTCACTTGCCAAGTCGTGCTAAAATACTTACTTAAATATTATTTTCCCTCATATTTTTGTGTTGATTGATCATTGTATTATTCAAGAAAAAATTCTACTACAGTCCCATATTTGTAACTAGGATATGTACTTTCCTTGTTATGAGTTTAAGTACTTCTAATCTTTACTAAAGACTAATGGAACCTCTTTTTACCCTTCTTTTATTTTGTTTGACCTTCAATATTTTGGACTTGTTTTACAGCTATGGAACTTGCATTGTCTTTGGAGAGGCTGACAAATGAGAAGCTTCTAAACGTGCACGCTGTAAGCCATGTTCTACACTTGTGTACTTGTCTACATTAATGTTATAGTAGTATAAAGTTCGAACGAAAATCTTATACAAATTCTGATTTTTACTCAGATGCTGTTTTAGTCATAGTTTCAAATGTAATGAAGAGTCACATTTATACTGAGATGCTTCTTTTTTGCAAAAACAGGTAGCCTTCCGAAACAATGATGTGCAGTTGGCTGACTTTATTGACAGCGAGTTCTTGGCTGAGCAGGTTCTTGATTGTGTTCTATCTATATTCTATCATATGATCTTCTTATAGAAGATCTCACCACAATTATTCATAGCAAAAAATGTTTTCTTTATAGGTGGAATCCATTAAGAAGATATCAGAATATGTTGCCCAGCTGAGAAGAGTAGGCAAAGGACATGGTATGAATACTAAGTTTAGTCCCCATCGCAAAAAAAATGATCCATGCGTGTATTGCCAATGCCATTACGTGGATTCTTTCACCAGTTTTTTTAACCATCTTTTCCTTCTTGGAATGTCAGGAGTGTGGCACTTCGATCAGATGCTTCTCCAGGAAAAGCAAGCTGCCTGACTGAAGCTTAGTCTTAGCCCTCTTGGAGTGGTTTCTTGCAGAATTAGTTTTCTAGATTTTGCTAGAGATTTTCGGAGTTTTAGCTTGTGTTGCAGCAGATGAATGTTAGTTCTAGTATCTTGTGTCAACTTAGTCAAAGATTTCAAATTCTCGGTAGATTCTGCTCTACAACTTTTAAGATGGAACTCAAATAAGAGCCTGTTTGATAGAATTTATTTGAGAATAATGAGTTATTGAATAGTACTTTTTGGAAAATGTTTGGTTAAAAAGTAAAACTTTATTGGTTTGTATATAGAATATTTTATTGTGTGAATATGTGATGGAAAATGATCATGTAGCAAATAATTTAAATTTTTAAAGGATGAGAAATATGGGCTAAATTGTCAATACCAGTTGGCTACCGGGTCATTTATAAAAGTTGGTAATATTTCAAGATGCTGAACTTCAACCATCATTTTTAATTTTGTTGAAAGACATTCTCATATTATGTTCAAACTTGCTCTCTTATGCTCTTAATAATTATAGGGCTTTACATATGTCAATTCAAAAATGTTGACTTTTGATTATCTTTGCAAAAAGGGTAAAATTTGACACCAAATTATTTTACCCTTAATGAAAAAATAAATAATTTCATATTGCACATGTCAAATCACAACTAATGCTAGACACAAAAATGTCGAGAACAACATTTAAAGTGTAGAAAAATGTCACGTTCGAAATAAAATGTCATTCTAAACATTTAATAGGTCAAATGTCTAGAACATTTAATATTGTAATTTGATATGCGTACTTTTGAAATATAAACAGATTGAAATATCGAGAAAGACATTTGAAATGTCGAGAACATTATTTTAATGTAGCTTCTCATGGAAGCTATTTAGGCGTACTTTCGTCCAAATAATTGTAAAAATGGACATTGAAAAATTTTGAACATTTTTACAAATGATTGTATCAAAAGACATTTTTTGTAATTTCCTCATAATTATATTGTTTAAACCATGAAATGGTGGAGCAAGACCAAATGTAAGTACCATTATCAACCAATACAAAGAAACTGTCAGAAAAGATTGACATAAAAAATATAAAATATAAAATAAAAATAAATTCAGAACCACTTAAGCCCTGTTCTTTTTGTTGTTCTCATGTTATTTTCGATTTTTCAAAATTGTGAAAACGCGATCTCTTTTCCATTTTCGAAAATCGAATTTTTGAAAATGAAAAAAAAATTTGTAAAGAAAATGCAGAACGTCAATTTGGATGTTTTCTATTCAAAACCCAATTTTTTTTGAAAACACGAGAAACGGGAAAGAGAAACTCATTCAAGTTTATCTCTCTTCAGTCTCCTTTCTCTTTTCCCTAATAGCTGTCTCTTCCTTCTCTCTCGACCCTGGCTTTTCTCTCAAACACTACAACCGACAATGAAGGAGATGTGCCGATGCCAGCGCCAGCATGGGAAGGCGACGCTGCTGTGAAAGTAGCATCGTGATGGGTGTTAATCTGCACTTTTGGGGGGGTTTTTTGGTTTTTCGATCTATTTATCTCTCTTCAGTCTCCTTTCTCTTTTCCCTAATAGCTGTCTCTTCCTTCTCTCTCGACCCTGGCTTTTCTCTCAAACACTGCAACCGACAATGAAGGAGATGTGCCGATGCCAGCGCCAGCATGGGAAGGCGACGCTGCTGTGAAAGTAGCATCGTGATGGGTGTTAATCTGCACTTTTGGGGGGGTTTTTTGGTTTTTCGATCTGGCGGCGACTGGTGTTGATGGTGGTGGTGGCAGGCAGGCGTTAGTGGTTTGTCTATGGTGGTACGTTTGATGGTGGTAGTGATGGTATTGATTTTGGTTGATTTTGTGGTGGTACGTTTGATGGTTTGTGGTGGTTTGTATGATGGTGGTCTCGGCAGCGATCGACGAAGGTGATGTGGAGCAGTGGATGAATTGATGGTTCATGGTGGTTGAATTGATGGTGGTGGCAGCGATTGACGATGGTGATGTGGTGCGGTGGATGAATTGATGGTTTATGGTGGTTGAATTGATGGTGGTGGCGGCGATCGACGATGGTGATGTGGTGCGGTGGATGAATTGATGGTTCATGGTCGTTGAATTGATGGTGGTGGTGGTATGTTCTTCCTTCTTCTCTATTTTCTGCATTTCTCCCCGAATTGATGGTTCATGGTGGATGAATTGACGATACGTTCTTCTTTCTTCTCTTTTTCTGCGATTGATGAATTGATGAATGGATGGTTCATGGTGGTTGAATTATGGTGATTTGGTTGATTTTGGCGGTGACAGTAGTTGATTTTGGTTAATGGTTCATGTTGATGGTGTTGGCAATCGATGGTTGTGTTGATCTTCGTTGGCACTTGGCAGTTGATTCGAGCTAGTGGTGGTGTCTTGAATAAAATCGCACGAAAAATATTCTCAAAATTTCAAAGCAAATGCGCTTTCCATTTTTATGTTTTGAGAAATAATTTTACAGAATGACAAAAAGAACGTATTTTCAACAATTTCAAAACAGGCCCTCAAAACACAACTCAAAATGAATTCGAAACTCAAAAATACAAAATTGAAACACGAAGAGAACAGCCCCTAAGGGCCCATTTGATTCTCATTCTTTGACTACAAAAATGAAAAATATGTCCATTATTCATCACATTAAGCCATTATATTTGACTTTCTATCTCTTATGTGGGTTCCATAACGATTATATTTTTCATTTTCATTCTTAGAAAAATCAGAATCAAACGGGCTCTAAAATGGATTCTTGCGAAGTGCCCAAAAAGGGCAATTAGAAACCATGTATATTACATGTGATCCTTTGCTATTAAACTTCGTAAACCAGTATCGTTTATCAAATAACTCTATTCCAGTAACAAATTGATGGATTAGCCATCAAGTTAAATTTTCTAATTCAATCACTCTTACCAAATACCAGAAGTAAAAGAAAACTAAATGCTTCGAATGAAACTAATCTATTTAGTATCATTACGTAGAGGTAAAATGTACAACAATTAAACAGTGAGATCCAAAATTCTTCATGGAGCATGTACCTTCTAAGTAAAACAGATAGGCATAGTTCCATTATCATCTTCGTGGTGAGAAAAGCAAAATCGAACAGATTATTAGCTTTCCTCGGAACTTGTTTACAATTGATTGCCTCAATTGCGCAAGTGATTTTATTGGGCTATGATGCCATTTTCTTGGTGGTCTAGCCCATCTGGGCTATGATGATAGATTGATGCACAGACACTACTTAAGCCCTTGTCCAAAATGTACTGTGATGGACTCTTATCACCCGACCCAAACTGTGACACACATGTGTCGCTCTGGTCCTTTTGATCTCCTAAACCTAACATCTACGATGATGACCCATTAATATAAATGCATGGTCTGAGACTTTTAGCCCTAATTTTTGAGTCATTATTCTTGTGCGTCTTCGTGAGATTTTTGTGGAACCTTCTCGGTCTCTCCTTTTCAAGACTTGGTGTCTCTGCCTCTTCTCCTTCTTCGTGAATCTCTTCCTTTAGCCATTAAACCCCTGGTTTTCTGGTGATTCTGTGTGCGTCAAGTCTTAGTGATTCTTCAGTTTCGATTTATGAAGAGTTTCTGTTGGTTTTTTGGAGAGTTTTTGTTCCATTAAAGCGACTGTCTCTGTATCAAGTTTGGGACTATGTCTTTGTGAGTCTAATCCTTTGTACAGACAGGTCTGTACAAGTTTGATCTGAGCCCAAATCTATGAGAACTTGTTGCCTTGGTTGTTGTCTATATTCTGTAATATTGGTACGATCTTGGGTCACTGAGATGTAACAGTGGTATCAAAGCCTCTTTTAGTCTGTACGAGTTCCTATCTCTAGCTTATGGTCATGGAAAATTAATTTTCACAGCCTAATTCTTGTGAGACCGACAGGCATTGAAAACCCTAAAACTGATTGGTGACAGATCTTGGTTTGGTTTTATGATCTTTTACTTTTTCTTGGTATAATGACATTTGTTGTTGGTGACTTTGCAGGAATAATTGGATTTTGAGTTTTTTCTTGGTGAACCAATTTTGAAAACTTGGATGTTCTATGGGATACACGATTTTTCGATCGATTTTTTTAACCCTCTTGTGACTTTTACACGTGATACATGATTCTTTACTGAGTGCTTTAGGATTGTGTATATTTCTTGGGTTGAGGTGTTCTAGAATTTGGGAATATTTCACACACTCTCTTTATACAAGAGTGTTCTGCATGCTATTAATCTTTGTGATTAACTCTTGATCTTTCTGGCCTGCCTATTCTCTAATATTTGTGATTAATTCCTGATTTCTGTATACTGCCTATTGATTAATCTGTATGATTAATTCTTGATCCCTGTATTTTGCCTATTGATTAATTTTTGTGATTAATTTCTAATCCTTATTGTCTACCTATTGTTTAGTCTTGGTGACTGTCTACTGATTCTATATTAATACTGTACACTTACACTGCACTACTGTGGACTTGGGTTGAGCCTTGACCTGTGGTCTTTGAGCCTAACGAAATCCTGGTGAACTCAAGACACATCACCGCATTCTGAAGTGATTTGTAATTTTTCTGATTGGTTACTATTTTGTTACTGTTCACTGTGTTATATCTCCCTGATATTTTCATACTGTGTGATACTTTGTGTTGTCATATATTCTGTGAAATATCTTCTTGATACTTTTGGCTGAACTTTAACCCTCAAAAATTTTCTTGTGTTGATTAAAAACTTCAAATGACAACGGCAACGTTTGAACTTTGGGTTTTTAATGAAAAATGAGATTTTCCCATTTGGCAGCAAAAAATGAGGGAGGTTCTTGTTCAACAGAAAGTGTCTAAAGCTATAACTGATAGATATCCTGCTATTATGACTAATGAACAAAAAACTGAATCTGATGAGCTTGCCTATACTTCCATTATTCTTCACTTGGCTGATCAAGTATTAAGAAATGTTAGAAAATTGGATAATGCAAAAGCTTTATGGGAAAAATTTGAAGAACTTTATTTAGCTAAGTCATTGCCAGATAAAATTTTTCTTTGGAAAGATTCTTTAGTTTTAAAATTGACATGTCCCAAGACTTAGATGATAACCTTGACACTTTCAATAAACTTGTACAAGATATTACTAATGCTGGGGACAAAGTATCTCAAGCACACAAAGCTGTAATGCTCCTAAATTCCATACCTGAAGCTTATAAAGATGTTAAGACTGCTATTAAGTTTGGCAGAGAGTCTTTAACACCTGAGATAATG